TCTTAAATAATAAAATTATTTATAGTTAATAATTATAATATATTACCATTATATTTTATAAAACAAATCCAATAATTATTATAAAATAGTTATTTGTATTTTGATTGTGAATATTATATTTATTATACAATATAATATTTTATTATTATTTTAAATTATGATATAAACAATATATTAATAATTATTTTATGAATTTGAATACACATAAAAATTGATAAGTATTTTATTAATATAATATATTTGATAATTATACCATATAATTAAATCAATATTACATTATTATTAGTTAAATCTTATTTTAAATATATTGGTATAATAATATAATATTTATTAATAAATGATTTATTTAAATATCATATGACAATTATTCTCTTTCTATATAAATAATTTATTTTTATATTTTTTATCATAAAATTAGGTGTAAAAAATATTATAAATGATCTTTTTTTAATTTTTATTTTACTTACGAGTTTGACATTAATAGAATATATATGATTTTTTTTAAAAAAATTTAGTTCGAACATCTATATATGATTATATTATTTTTATTATTTAAAATTTATTTCTTGAATTGTTTGTTTCTTATTAAAATTCTCATCGAATTAATTTTTAAATTTTATATAATTTAAATTGTTAATAAATTTCATTATATATATATATATATATATATATGTGTGTGTGTGTGTGTGTGTGTGTGTGTGTGTGTGTGTGTGTGTGTGTGTGTGTGTGTGGCTTTTGAAATAAAATTTTAGAACATAATTGCTTTATTTTTTAAAATATATTATTATAATTTATATGATTGATTATTTTTAAAAATTTTAAATGAAGATGGTTTTGTTGCATATATAAATTCGACAAGAAAGAGAGAGCTAAAAGTGTATTTCATATAATTTGACTTAATTTTTTTAAAAAATAATAATCTTAATTTTTTAAAAAATAATAATCAGTTAAAAAGATAATTTGGTTTTTTTTTTAAAATAATAATTAGTTAAAAAATTCACATGTTTTATTTGGTTATAAAAATCAATTTTATAGTATTTTTTATTTAAATATATTCACTTTGATATATTTCATTCAATTTAAATGGGTTTTTTATATATATATTTTATATAATATGAGTCTTATTTAAGTGGATCAATTTTTCTTTTAAAATAATAATTAGTTAAAAAATTCATAGGTTTTATTTAGTTATATATATATAATTAAAATTCATCGAAACAAAATTTATAGTAGCTTTTATTTAAATCTATTTACTTTAATATATTTTATGCGATTTAAGTAGATTTTTTATTTAGTTATTTTATATATTGTAAGTATGTTAAGTATAATATAAAACTAAAAGAAGCTGAGGTATTTGAACGAGTAAATGAACAAAACCCCAATTCTTTTGTTTTTTTCCCTCCCGGGTTGACCGAGTAACCAAGGCTCGGCTCTTGGCACGCACGTGCCGAGCCTTGGTTGCCTAGCTCGGCCTTTTTTGTTTTTTTCTTCATATATATATATATATATATATATATAGCTCATGATTGACAAACTTATCTTTAGGTTACAATGGCCACTTTGAAATATTTTTAATTTTTGATTTTATTGCAAATTTGTAATGGTTGATAATTTTTTGATATAATATTATTTGTTAATAAATTTGATTTTTTAATATATGAATTTTGAAATAAAATTTTAGAACATTAATGTTTTATTTTTTAAAAATATATTATTATAATTTTATATAATAAATTGTTTTTATATTTTCAAATGAGTGTTATATAAATTGGTTAGAAATTAACTATATATAGATTTAATTTATATTAATCACTAAAAATAAAATTTTTTATTAATATTACACCATACGAATTGTTAACCCTATACATGTAACGGTTGTACGCACGTCGTGTAATCCAACTAATTGGTAACTAAAATATGTTAATTATGCTATTTGTACGCATTTGGTCTACGGCAACATAACCACACAAACATGTTCGTATGGTTTGAGCTAGGAATTGATATGGAATGAGTTGTAGGCATTTGTTTCCAGATACTGTTTATTATTATTATTATTATTTATAGAGAAAAGTGAAAATGATAAAAGAATCATAACCAATCAATTACATTATAAGACTTAAGTATGTGAATTGTGATGCACATGGAATTTGTCCTTCCTTTGTTCAAGGAAATTTTGCTCCCTTCCTTCTTGCTGCGAAGACACGTCATAAGTCCATTGCCGTGATCAACAAAATAGTGTCAGTAATCATCACGCATTACATTGACAATTCCATGATTGTTATTAATTAATTCCTTTATTTTTCATATTAATTATGCTTGTGACATTTGTCTTAAATAAATATTTATATATTAATTAAATAAATTATTTTTACAAACATCTTTATTTTTTAAGGAGGTTTTCAGATAAGAATATTACAAAAACACAACGCAGAATACCAGTTTCTCCAAACAGCAGCATGCGCAGTAAATGCAGATGATATAGCAACTGTTAGATGACATGCAAACCTACATTCAATAGCAGACATTCCCTTCTCCTAACCCTGTCCTTACCCAGGAGTCGGCCTTTCCCCTTGATATCCTCCGGTAGAAAGATGATGTAAAAAATGACGATGATGAATACTAATTTTTTTTTAGCTTTTTAATGTGTGCCTATATATATGTTATTTTTATTTTACTCAACAATATTTTGTGTTATAGTTTTATTTTTAGTTATTTACTACTATACTTAATATTAAACTGCTATTGACAAATTAAAAAAAAAAAATTAATTTTCTTTATTAGCTACTGATTAACGATCAACTAACGATAAAAAATAAATATTAAATTAATTCATTAGCGATGGATAATAAAATCTATCATCACTTAAAAGATATCAAGCTATTATTTAATGACCACTTTTAGTGACGACTTTCACGTCGCTATATAATGACGAAAATTAAACAACTTATTGATAATTTAGTGATAGATTTCATAGTTATAAAATGATTGTTTACATCGAATAGGCAATGAAAATATTTCAATATAGTGATAAAAAAATTTTCTGCTAAAACAATTAGCAAAATATATTTTAGTGATGCTATTATTTCGCCGCAATTCCATTGTTAAAAAAAATAGCGACAAAAAATATAGGTTTAGTAATGTAAAATTTTATCATTGAACCCTTCATTTTTTTTAGTGAGAGTTTAGGTCTATTTTTAGTGTAATATTAAGTTATATGCATGACTGATTGCATATTAATTTAGACAGAAAACATTAATAGAATAATAGATTTTTGAGGACTCAGTCATTTTATAAAGATAAAATTAACCTAATTACAGGTATAATAATAGAATAGAAACTCGCTATTGCTTTTCCTCTTCTTTTTTATTAGATAAAGAGTTCTCTGATTTTCTCTCTCTTTCACTGTAACATATTTTTTCCTTCTCCTCCTCTCTCACTTCACCTCTTTCTTTTGTCTCTATCCCTCACCCAAACACATTTTCTCTTCAGCCACCTCTCTCGTTCTAACTCATTACCTTTTTCATTTTTTCCAATATCTCTCATTCTAACTCAATCCCTTTACACTTCAACTTATTCTCTTTTCCTATATCTCTTAAACTCTAATTCCTTCCTTCCCTTCATTATTTTAATTTTAACATGTTATCTCTGATTTTAATCACTATCATATTCTATCTCTCTTATCAAATAAATTACTTATTAAAATAGATTAAAATTTGGTTCAAAATGCGTTTAATGAGGTATATGTCTTAAAGTGGTTATTTTATATTTAGAAATTTTAATTTAGGTGGAACACCAAATTAAGATATTATTTTTTCTAAATTAATACATGTTTAGGCCACTAATTATATTTTAATTCTAAGTTATACATGTATGAAAATTATTTAATTAAACTATATTTACTAGTATTTCACTTGTCATTTAATTCATTATTCACACATAGCACTTAATAAACATTTAATTTGCAACAAAGCATATATCATAAAAAATCACAAGCATGGTATGAATATAATTAACAAAAAAAAAAAAAAAAAAAATCACACAAAGCATAAAATTTAAATGTAATTTCGAGCATTACGCCGATTCATTCGTTCCCTCCATTATTTTAATTTTAACATATTATCTCTGATTTTAATCACTATCATATTTTACTTATTAAAATAGATTAACTAAAAATTAATTTAAAATTTTTGTTTCATTATTTAAATTAAAAATAAAGATGATGGCGATAATTAATCAAAGTTTATGTAGGAATTATTTGAAAATTGTGATGATGATTGCTACTATTAATTATTAATATTTTTAATAAGGAAAATTAATTATTTTGGACTAATCGAAATTTTTTACATTGAATATATATATATATATATGATTTATTTTTTAAATCAATTTACAGTCACACCAAAAAATTCAAACACTTGGTAGCAAATCGATCATCAATTATTTCAATCTTTTTTAAATAATAATAAAATCGTTCATAATTCTTTTTAATTTAAATTAATGATAATAATGCTAATAAAATGACGTTCCGCGTGCTTGTGACCATATTATTGCCACTAAGTTTGCGACTGCAAATCAAGCTTCTTCTTCTTCTTTTTTTTAATGGGTATAAACAAGTTTAATTCTTAACATTTACTAGAAATTAAACCGTACGAAAAGGGCACTGCTTTTCAGATTCATATTCAAATGCTCACCTTTTGTTCATGATTATCATGGATTTCTTCTTATGAGATGGGGACGTTAGCATAGACCTTTTACTATGGAAAACTGAGGACTGTTTTTCAAGAATTTTAATTGGAGAAGAGGCACTGTCTCAAAATTCAATATTGTATTTCTAGTTTCTACATTGCTCATAATGCATTGCACAAATTTCAAACTCAAGTCCATAACAAAGAAAAACAATTTATACATTTCGATATTTTTTTGTTTCTTATTGACAAACTAATTAAATATAACATGATCGATCACAAGATCCCAAATATTAGTAATTAACAGTTGGTGTCTTAACTCTTGTGTTCCTCATTGTCATTATTTGGCATGGAGGCACTGTTAAATATAGAAAATGGCAATGCAGGTTGAAGCAGACTTCCCTTCTGAGAAGTAGAAGATGACAATCCATTGAAGTAGGTTGATGCACATCCTAATTTCCCATTCTGGGTCAATGAATTGGTAGAAAATGCCCGAGGAGTACTGGTCTGATCACCCATGTTCAAATTCTGCCCAGAAGAATTCTGATCTCCGGCCCGTTGGTTTCTATTGTTTGCACTTACACTACCTCCACCTCCCATCATTGATGAAATAGCTGTGGCAATCACCGTTCGGAAACTTGGATCCGACGTTATTGCCTTTGTTAAGGTTTCCGCTAATACCTGTTGAGTAGGTGCGGCTTGAAAGTTCTTTTCCATGTATGGTTGATATAATTGTTGATGATTATAGGATAGTGTGCCATAATTTTGGTACCCGTTGTTCCATATTGTAGGCAGAGTGTTGGATTCGGTGGAAGAAAAGTTAAGACTTGTTGAAGGAAATCTAGAGGTTGAACTGAAGCTTGAAGAGAACCTACTATTGAAAGGATTAGTTGAAGTGGAGGAGGAGGTGGTAAGGTCTAGAGTAATCGTTGGGAACATCGGTGAGGAGGAATTTGGAAAGTAGAGTTGCTTTGTTCTCAAATTGTCATGAAGACTGAAGCTTAATCCATTGAGTTCAGTACGAGCGGAGGTTGCATTGATAAGAGAACCAAGGCCTGGCTGAGAGGATGAAGAGCCAGATAATAACATGGAAGCAGCTGCTGAAGTGGTAGAAGCCATGGCTGTGGCTGAAACTGGAAGTTGGTGGTTATGTGTTCCTTCATAGGTAGTGATCAAGATGGTCGTGTCCTCAGCACATCTTTGCACCTGAAATCATGTTTGAAAAATTATTCAGATAATCTCGTCATGACCAGATAAGGAACTAATCCAATAACATATAAGATATAATACAATTAAGGACAAATGAACTTCAAGAAAATTCTTGTATAGGCATATAACTTATGTAAACAAAAGACTTTTACCTGTTTTCGTACTGGACATGATGGTGCAACTGTGCAACGATAATATGCTCGTGGGCATGGGTTTCCTTTCGCAATTTTCTGTCCATATTTCCTCCACTGGCATCCATCATTCATCTGTAGTGTTTACATCAAGAAATTTTAGAAATTAAATGCCATTCAATCTTTCCTCAATCTCATTGAAAACGAATTCAATTAATGAAATTAAGGGAAGTTTAGATTAATTGATCAAATACTTACTGTGGGTGTATCACATCTTGTCCTCACACAAACCCTAGCTCTTTTCGGATGGCCTTGTTGTGCAACCTCATCATGATCTCCATTTCTCTTTGGAATCTTGCTTGATGGCCATGTTTCTGCAGCTTCTTCTTCCTTTGGTTCCTCTACGCTCTCTGCAGGGCTTGGATTTGACACAATCTCTGAGGATATCAGAAACTTGGAGTCCAATCCAAGAGTCAAGTTAGCCTTCAACTCTTCATTTTCCCTCCTTTTGGTAGTGTTGGTAGACTTCTCTTCCTTTTTAGGCTCGCTTGGACTTCTTCCAAGGCAAAGTGACACGAGATCATGAGGTTCTTCAGTTTCGTCATGGGATGGGGTTGAATCTGTAGATTGCTTAGAACTAGTTTCATGCTGAAGGATGTCGAAGAAGCGGAACTGAAGGGACTGGTAGTCTTTCTCAATTCGCTCCAGCATCATCTTTAATCTTTCATTTTCTTCTCTCACTTCACCCATTTCAGTTTTGGCAGATTCAAGTACTTCCTCCTAATCAACAAAAGATATCAGAGGTTCATCAGATATAGACTTTTGTCAATAATATAACTAGATCAACGAAGATTCATCAAGAAATTAAGAAAATAAACAGATCGAGTAATATATATACATATAGGCTTTAGATCGGCAAACCACCCTGTCGATGTCTTTTACTTATTGTCAGATCATCAGAAACTGTGCGTGTTACAAAAAATAAATTATACTTTGAAAGAGATCACCTGATAATCATAAAAGAAACGGACCAGGGAAAGAAAAAGGTAGTGACAAAGAGACAACATAAAACATAGTTTCTGATGATCTGACAGTGAGTAAAAGACATCAACAGGGTGGTTTGCCAATCCAAAGCCTATATATATATATATATATATATATATATATATATGGGTCTAATTTTACCTCTTTGCTATTGCTTGACTCCTCATTGTTGGACGATGATGGCTTCATTTTGTGATCTTGCAATTCTTCACTAATTCCAACCTAGCCATATGACAGTCATTAACATGTATCAATGTTTTACCCCAAACAGCCGTTGACTTCTAAAATCATCCAAAAATTACAAAAATTCCATACATGGAAAATTACTTTGGAGATGGACATGCAAGTATATATAACACGAACGCATCAAGTTCAATTGATTCGATATGCATATGGTATTCATTCATTATTATTCACAATAAGTGATGATGGATGTTGGAAATTTAAGTACCTTTTTAGCTTCCTGACTGCAACCTGAATCTTCATGACTAGTCGATCCAAATTGCACCCTTTCTTCTGTAGCTGCACCACCGGAACTAGGCATTTTGAAGACACCCTTTTCAGCTAGCAAGCCTCTTGCCTTTGCTTTTCTAAGTATGTATTTTTGCAGATCCTTTGTCTGTTGTGAGCTCCTTCTTAATTATATATATATAAATATGACCCTTAATAAGTTTGCTGACTATCGTATAAACATTTTCCTAGTGTTTACCTATAGTTATCCGATTATTACGCAGACACAAAAAAAAAACAAAAAAAAATGTCAACACCCCAAAAACTCATTAATTTGTTTGATTATTCTATTGAGATAAGAGTAAACAAATATATGCAGAATTCAACTTCAACGTTTTCACAGTTAAGACCCAGCTGAGAAGACAATAGGATATTTAAGAAAGAGCGCCCTAAATTATCGGCAGATGGCAGTACTATCTTTGAAGCTTCGTACAAAGAGATGACTTTCATATCGCTAACAGTCAATGTTTATGATGCTGATGACGTCTTAGGTCCGGTGGCCGGTGGGGGGTCAGCCTCTAATGATGCAGGTGCCTGCCATATTACCGTTGTCAAGTTCCTGGTCAATACGCTTGTTTAACACGCTGTCTGTGAGACGTTGCTGCTGTTGCCATTGACCTTGTACCTGTTTAATTGTGTATGTGTATTGTGAATATGTACTCGGACCACTTGCTACATCCTGTGTCTTGCGGTTAATTAATAACCACAAGTTATGGTATAGATTAAGGTTTTTTTCTTTTTCTTTAAATGTTGCTTGTGTACATTGATTACTAAACTATATACGTACTGATAAAAAATTGGGCTACTAATTTAATATTGTCTGGATTGCTTAGATAGATAAAAATTTTCAAATTTTCAACTTTCTATACTTTTTTTTTTTTCCTGTCTCAATGGCCAGAGTCTTCGAATCAGTTTTGGTATGCTAAAATTAAATTTCTTACTCGATGGTAAATCTCAATTAATAGATCGTTAATTCGCATCTAGATTTTAAAAAATACTTAAAAAAAGAGTATTTTTTTTTCTACATTGCATACGATTTTGGTTTTGAACCAAAAATGAATAATATGAAAACCAAACTTACTGCCCGAGCTAACTTTTTAGTTTGGTGCTAGTTATTGTTTTCAGTAATAAAATTATTATGGACCAGAATTCGGTAAAGTTTCTAATATTCAAACCTAAAAATTACATGTTTTGGTGAGGTTTTATTCAGCCATGAGCTCTTAACATGATTGTTTGTATTACTATATGTTAGAAAACAATATAAATCATATTTTAAACCCTTACCTAATAATTTAAATTTTTGAGTAAGATGATTCTTTAAGAGTTTTGATAATCAAAAGGTTAAGAATTTGAATCTTATCACTCTCATTTCTCATATAATTAATTAAGCATAAGATAATGCAGTCTTTTAATATGAGTTTGTATAAGCTTTAAATCTAAAAGACTTTCACTTGAGAGGATGTTTTAAAAAATAAATAATTAATGTGGATAAATTTGTATTTTGAAAATAAATAGGTAGTGTGTAGAAATTCATATTACTAAAGAAGTAATTGTTGTACGAGTAGTTACTCCATAAACCCATTTTTCAGGAAAGAGATAGATACATTAAAAAAAAAATTACGTCTAAACCTATAAAAAGTAATAAAAAGATTTTCACTAATTACTCCATTAACCCATTTTTAAGGAGAGTAATAGATACATAAAAAATAATAAGAAGATTTACACCTTTGCTCATGTGTATATATATATATATATATATATTGATGGTCAACTGTTTCAAAAGTTTGAACAACTCTTGCGGTTAACAAAATTTTGACATAGAACGGTTTACTCTTTACGAAGTCTTCAGCCACGCATGGATCGACTAAGAAGGAGCCATCTTTCTTTCTCTTTTTTTTTTTTTTTTTTCAAAATGTGATTGCCTTAGTGTACACCCCATGAATTAATTAGTTCTTGATAATGTTTAAATAGTTAAACTCTTCAGCCAATGCATTTTGCGAATCAAGTTCCACGACTTCTAATAATTGGTCTCAACATGCTCAACTTTGATCATTCATTTGAAATTAAGTTAAATTTAAAACGACTATTTAGAGCTATGTGATGACTGCTGAATTAATTAATCATGCATGTTGTATGATCTATAGATGACTGTTAAAGAAAATTGTAATATATATTGGCCATCTCGATCCATTACTCAAAAGTTTCCACCCTTTTAACAAAAAAATATTAATTAGGACTCTCTTCCCATTATCATATTGCTTTTCAACTCCCATTCAGGTAAACATTGTGAACTATATTAATTTTTAGCAACTAGAGTTCCAAGGATTCCATTGGTAACGAGGGTATAAGTTGCCGTTACCAGAACATATTTTACCAATTAAAAGATGAACAAAAGAACCAGTAAGGCACTGCAGCTGCTTGTTTTAAAAAATTATTTAAGACTGCATTAAGATTTTATTATAAGCTGCTCTTAGATTCAATTCAGAACAGAAAAGTGGAATGGGTTTTAGAGACTGAAGAAAAGCTATTCTTCCTTGAGTAGCTCCAAACTTAAGAAGAAAAATAAAATATAAGCATTAGGTTTCATGATCAAGACTTAGGTATTATATAAGGTATTAGGTACGAATTAGATTCATGATGGTCAATGGCAATACTTAGAATAGCAGCTCTAACTTGGAAACAAGAAGGGGGATGATATATAGGTTCGACATGTCATTGCAGTACTTCTTTCATTAAAATCCAACGTATTGACCTAAAGCCTATTAAATCCTATTAGGCTCATATTCCAAGACTTTTTCTAAGGCAACCTTAAACGGTATTTTTTTTTTTTATGGCAATAAATCTTGTTGGAGGGGTATGGTGGTCCCCATTCATTGGGTTTTGAATGTGAAGACATCGGGGCTTTTTTTTTTTAGTCTTGCTAGTGGCTAATCGAAGACTTTTTGGCCAACTTGTGAATACTGTATTTCAAACAGGTCAATGATTTAGATTAGGCATTGAATGGTGGTCCCTAGCTACTCATTGGGTTTAATATGTCCAGGCTAATTGCAAGTTGGTTGGTTTTTTTTTTTTTTGAAGATCACGTTATGGCGCTTGGGCAACAATTGATCCTACCACATATCGTGGAACTCGAATATTTCTTTCGGTTTATAAACTTTTTTAAACCGCCCAGTTATTTGTTTTACCAACATTAGAGATTAGATAAATGTCAATATGATAGGAGGGGTTGATCTAATAGTGAATAAAATGTAGATTTAGTTTTATTATGTGTAAATAATCTAATAATCTAAAAATATTCATGGCTATATTATATGTTTGATTTGTCAACAAAATATTAACTAACTAATTTAATTAATTATGTGCCAATTCGTGAATTATTTTTAAGCATGGATTCAAATTCTACAATAAATAAATTAGCTTGACAATAGGTTTTGCCTAATACGAGGTTTTGGTCGTGCAAAGATAGATATATATATTTTGAAAAGATTAATATCAATGCCTTATTTTTAGAATATATTAAGAAGATTGGTTCAGTAGAATTTGAGCATGGTTTGCTAAAAAATTCAATTGTTATTTCTTTTAGTATTTATTGACAAATTAAAATAGTTTAGCCCAAAGTAGCTCATTTTTCTCTTGAGTCAATTTTCTTTTGTCCGTCTCAATCCTACTATCAAAACTTGGATGATGTGATACAATTCTACCTATCAAAAGTCTTTTTTTTTTTTTTTAAATGCCAACTTCACATCAATTATGATGGAATTCTAACTTTTGATTACCTTTTGATAAACATAATTCTCTCTTAAAATGCTCCCACTCTTATAACTAACATCTCCCAAAACTCTATTTGTTTAGACTATGACTCCTTGGACACTTGCCACTTGAATTGCTCCAGCCATTTAGACTATGACCACTCATACATTTGTCACTTGACTTATATCTTACTAGCATTGCTTAATCTTCCTTCAACGCCTCTCACTACCAACTCTATTTTTATGAGGTCGTGTGTCACTTGCTTCCACAAATACCAACACTACCTTATTATACTTTGATGGATCTCGCTTATCTATCATTAATTATTTTGAAGAAACCTCCACACAATCATAAAACTAAACAAGAAGAAAAAGATAAGATGTTTTTTGGTATTATTGTGGTTTTTTGTTTATTTTTTCAAGAAAAAAAAATGTGTTTCTTTGAATTATGGTGTTATTTTTTTCTATGAACAATTTAAATATAAATAAATAAAAAATTCAAACCTATTTTTTAAAAATAGCAAAAAATGATTTTTAATTTTAGTTTTTATTTATGATATAATGTTACCAATTATTGACGCCCGTTGTAGGTTCTTTTGTGTCGACCTCAACTAAGAAGGCTTTGTAACAAAACAAGTAAACGATAATCGAAATGCGGTTTATAAGGCGATCATCGTTCCAATCTTGTCGATAGATGAACTAAATTAACTTCAAAATATAAACTAAAACTAACACTAAAGACATTTTTAACATTTTACATATTGAAGAAACTAAATTAAATTAAAATCTAGTTGATAGATGAACTAAATTAACTTTGAAATATAAACTACAACTAATATTATTGATGTTTTTCGCATTTTATGTCTAGAAGAAACTAAAATAAATGGATTGCAATAGACTTGGAAATCCCCGATAGGAAATTGCAACGTCCCAAACTGGTTGATTTGTAGAATTGTAAGGATGATAACTCAAAATAAAGAACAATTCGGAGTAAAAATTAAACATTATACTCTACTATGCAATCAAAAAATAAAATTAAATTAAAAACTAGAAAATTAAATAATTAAAATAATAAGAACAACAAGCTATAATATGAATGAAAATATAAAAATCCCTATAAGAAAATCAAAAAATAGTGACAGATTTTAGCGACAGGACACAATGCGTCTTTAAATAGCGAGTAAATAATGATCAAATAGCATATGTTCTATTTAGTGATGGAATAGAGATGGCTTGGCGATAGATTCTTAGCGATGGACATAATTGCATCGCTATTTATGGCAACAAAATAATCTCAATGATGAATTTATGTTCACTCGCTATTGTTAATGTTTTTATTTAGTGACAATTTTTTTGTCACTCAAGTACTAAATTCATCGTTAAATATGAAAAAATGGATGGGCTTTTGAAATTGAAGAGCCGTTCTTTTGATGATGGAATAGTGACGAAAATTAAGTTTTTGTTGTTAGATAGTGATGGGAAAGTTTTCATCGCTAGATGCAAAAAAAAAAAAAAAATGGGCGAGCTTATTGAATTAATTGGCCATCCATTTTGTGATGGAATAGAAACGAAAACATTTTCATCACTACTTATAAAAAAAATAAGAGGCTATCTCGTTTAATCGGCTACCCATTTTACGAGGAATTAGCGACGGATGTCGGTATCCATTGCTATTTAGCAATAGACCAACAATGGGATCAC